TCGACTCGAACCCGAATTTTTCTAGGTCGAGTTCGGGTCGTGTAAAAAATTGACACCCCTAATTAATCTAAAATCATCCCCCCTAATTAAACTAATCTAAAATTATATATTTGATATATCCTCAAAAAATTATCATGATCGGGCATGAATCTCGAGGCAAAATGGACCCGGAAACTTCAAAAATTAAATTCAGGATCACCTAAACTTCGATTTCAGCGAACTTATAGTCAAACTTAGCGTCTAGGAAATATGAACACAACGACACCAAATCTAGTCAATCCGAGCCCAAATGTGTCCAAATGAAGCACCCGAAGCGCTATGGAAAGTTCAAACCATAATTTGAGTTATCAAACGGTTTCCAAATCTAACGTTCTTATAGTCGAATCGAGCGGCTTAACGAGGCAAAACTAACAAGCCCAAGATCGCCAAATTCCAGCATCATTAATACCTTCAAATGTCTGACGAACAGTGCACGATCAAGGGATTCAATATCGGCCCTCCATCCGACCACTCCCTATTTACCCATGATCTCTCACTTATTTACAAGCCATGCCACTCCAGAATATCTATAAATAGACCCCTCATTTCTCATGAGAGGGGACCCAAGCAAGAAGAAGAGAAGAAGAAAAAAAAAAAGAAAAAGAGAAGAAGAAGAGAAGGATATGAGGTAAGAACTCCTCCTCGACCACTGCAAGAGTTCTGTTCGACGCCGAAATTCTTCCTGACTTCCGAACGATGCTGGAGTTGTATCTGATGCTCAAGTGACGCTAGAGTTCTGCCAAACGCCCGAATTCTGCCCAACTTCCGAATGATGCTGGAATTCTGCCTAACATTCGAGTGACGCCGAAACTCTGCCCTATCTCCAAGTGATGTTGAAACTCTGCCCGACATTGTAACTGATTTTTAATTCATAAGTGCTTCATTGTAATCTGATCGTCCTAAATTTTAAGGACGAGTCAGCCTCTTGTATTTCAAGCAAACACTAGTGGAACTCTTTCAACTGGGCGTGGCCCCGTGGTTTTTCCCCTTTCAAGGTTTTCCATGTAGAAATCATAGTGTTATCATTTCTCCTTTGTTTGTGTGATAGATATTCGTACAACGCTGAGACGGAAATTTTCTAACTCTATCGCCGCGTATATTCTAGTCCGCAACAATATTGATTTAAGAAACTAGGGTAAATTGATACATAAGATATTTTTTTGATTTGTTAGATCCTGTGTATACACAAAGCAAAATAAAGAGTCATTCAAATCACTAGAGAGCAAATTGAACATTCAATAATATTTGTGCCCAAGTGTAAAAATGTAGTAAAATTATTTTGTGCGGATGCGGACACCATCCGGAGGTGAATCAAAACGCACAACATCACCCATTTGTTGTAAACCGGGTGACGTAGGGCGTTCTGATTCTCCTCAAAACGATTCGATGTCCGCACATAATAACTTCTCCAAAATTTAACATTTAAGTGCTAGAACTAAATTTTTGTCAAAAGCCTGGGCACCGAGGCACCACTCTTGACACCCTATTGGATCCATGTCACCGATGTTGGCATTGATGCATGAATTGTTGATTGAAGTATCAGGATTAAAGTTGGAGCCCATGCACTAACACCTAGCACTTGTGGTGCCAAAGTGTCTGTATCCGCTTAGAGCTTGATGCTTGACATGGCACCAAACATTGTAATGATAGATTTTAAAATTTAGTAAGTCGAAAGTCAAATTTAAGGTTATGTGAAAGTCAAAATTTTAAAATCTAAAATAATCAAAATACTTTAAAATATATTGAAAATAAAAAAAAAAAATTATTATTTCAAAACTAAGATTGAAAGTTTTAAAATTTAGTAAGTCGAAAGTCAAATTTAAGGTTATGTAAAAGTCAAAATTTTCTCAATTATGTGACTAATTAAGGGAAATAAGGATTAATTAATTTTTTTTGAGTGATTAACCAGCCCAAGGTCAAAGTTAGTTAGTTTATATGTCAAATATCTTTAGCAAGTTAAAGAAGAATCCCAAATATTTAAGCTATTTTTTGAAAATTATATTTTATATTTATAATTAACTTTAAATGGTTAAAAATTATTCAAATATGAAACAAATCAAACAAATTTTTTAAACATTTGGGGATGTGTTATTTTTTCTTTGACTTTAAAAGAATCAAATCAATCCAAGAATAACCAGTTAAGGAGAAATATATGTTTTTCAATAATTAAAAAGGGCTTTTAACAATGAAAAATAATCATCTCAATGTATATAAAATTTGAAACAAATACAAATATACACTTTTTTTTTAATTACTTGATTTTTTTTTAAAATAATGCAAATGTTTTTAGTTATGAAAATTATCAAATAAATATGAAAAATAAAATAAAATAAAATTAAGAGTACTTGAGCCAGTCAAGAAGATTTTTGAAATTAAAAAAAAAAACAATGCAAGATTAGTGAGAGTATGCTTTAAAAGTAATTTCCTTGAATTATCCAATCTATTAGAAATTGGAAAAAATAGGTTTTTAAAATTTGAAAAATGTAAAAATATCCATTTTGGTTTTAAAAAATTGTACCAATGTATGATATCACTCAAAATAATGCCTTAAGAAACCCTTAATTGTTTAAAGCTACTTAAAGTATTTTTAAATAAATAACAATTAAAATAATATATAATTTTATTATAAAATTAAAAAATACCTAAAATAAATTAACAAAAACTAAGAAATACTACAAACAGTGTGTAATTTTATTTGCATTTTTATTGATTTGGGTTAAATGATCCAATTAAGCTATATCAAACATCCATTTGACTAAATTAGGCAATTCCTTAACCTATTCAGACCTATTGGAAGAGATAGTTAATGTTAATTTGTCCAATTATGGTGTTTGGGGCTAATTGACCTAATTGGGTCCAATTAGGCAAAAATAGGGTTCAAGTGGTTCTAGTCTAGCCAATAATCAATTAGGGTCAATACATCTAATAATATTATGATTAAACCTCTATGAAAGAGGGTTGACTAGCTAGTTTAATTAATTGGTTCAAAATCACTAATTGGGCCCAAGGTTTATAGGTTTTTTTGGCTGAATTAACCATACGACAAACCTAGGCCCCCTCAAGTCAAAGCTAAGAGGATAGGGTTGCTTGGTAGGATGAAAAGACAATGCAATGCAAAATGAATACAATGTCAAAGAAATGCAGCGTATTTGAAATGATTTAGAATTATTTGGATGCGTGTAAAGTAAATGCAGATGATTCTTTTTTTATTTGGATTGTAGTAAAATAAATGCAGTTTAAACTTCAAGATGGTGGTTAGTGGCTGGTGGCAGGGCGGTCATGTGCAACATCAACCGTGGGCAACCGGAGATGGCAGCTGGTTTCCCGCATTGGTGGCTTGCCGTTGATGAGGAGGATGGGTGTGTGTGTGTGTGTGTGTGTGTGGGGGGGGGGGGGGGGGGTAAATGCGGAGGTGGCCGGTGGTCGACGGTAAGCAGTGGGTGGTCGGTGTTAATGGTGGCCAGAGTAGGGAGATGGTGACAGTAAAAGTTGGGTTGTGGTCAGTGGCAAAAATGATTGAATTTATTATGTACTTAAAAATCTTGCAAATATGATGAATTCCAAATACACCAAAAATTGAATTAACAGGTGAATTCCAAATGCACCAAAATTTTACACTGCATTTTTTTTTTACTTCAAACCAAATACCATTATTCTCAAAACTCCCACACTTGAAATGCTTCATACTCATTTTACTTCGAACCAAATAATCTCATGATCGATAACAGTGCACATACATGTAATTGAAATAATAGAAAAGTGACTGAGTTCTTATACATTCAACTCGGTCAACTAAGACCAATTAGGGTCAAGCTATGATCAGTTATATCATAATGCTAGCTAATGTTACGTCTTTTACGAGAAAGAATCTATATAATTAAGAATTGAATGATTGATGGTCTCCTATAGGCTTCACTAATCCACATGGTGTCCTATAATCACCCAAGTTCTGATCCTAGTCAGATTGGGTTAGGGGTTGGAGCAGAATTCAACTTTGACATATAAATCATGTTTCTTCTAAGCTAGTTAATCATGGACTCTATTCATGCTTCTTATTAGAGGAGAATCTCACTCTAACAGGAGGATATCGTAGAGGCGCACTTAACACAAATACCAGTAACTTTTTAAGCCTTCTGCAATATAGACTATTTCGCAAAGGAATCCTTCTTTGGTTGTTCCCTATATCAGGCACATTTTAGCATATAACGAGTTAAATCCTTATTTTCAATGAAAATGTGGGCTAATAGTTTTCATCTAAAAATTTCATATATATTGATGAATTTAAGGTCACTTATACCAGATATTTGTTACTTATTTTATGATGCTCTTGCTCTTAAATATTATTTGACTATCTAAATTGAGCTCACATCCTTTAAAATTATGAATAAATCTTGAGTCATCCTGAAGAGAAATTATTTTGTGCGGTCACCGGACGCCGTCTGGTGGCGAATCAAAAAACGCAACGGCACTTTTTTGTTGTTCATCGGTGTTGTGTACCATTATGTACTGGATGACGTGGTGTTTCCTTATTCGCCTTCGAATAATCCGATGACTGCACAGAATAATTTTTCCATCATGAGGGCATCCAACGTGTTCTTTTCAAGCCCCTATCTTTTCTAGATTTTATAATAGTAATTATTAATTTATGTATAGTCTTAATAAATAATCTTCATTTGCAAGTGTTGTGGAGCTTAAAATACTACTAGGCTCGAGGTCAGGGAAAAATAGAAGAAGCATCGTTCTATTGGAGAAATTATTAGGTTCGGACACCGGACAGAGAGAATCATTCGGAGTTCTCTTTATTTATAGTGAAAAATGCAGTCCTACAGTAGTTGCGCTTTGACTGTGCTTTTACTATAGACAGAGAGAAGTCCGAATGATTCTCTCTATCCGGTATCCACACCTAATAATTTGCCGTTCTATTGAGTACCTTGTCTAATCCATCAGAACTTTCTGTCAAATTTACCTATAAAAGACTGCTGCTGTATTTAGTAAAAAAGAATTTTGGTAATAGTTCTAACTTATGTATGGGAATTGAAACAAATGATGGTAATCAAGCTCCATTTCACTAATAACAACTACCCTGGAGCTGCCTCTAATCAATAAGCCAAGTACTCTTGGTGAACACCTATTCCCGGAAACTGGAGCTGATAAAGAATACCTTCCTGGAACTGGAAGCCAACTTCGTCCTCTTCAGCACTGCTTCAATAAAAGAAACACAAAAGGAAAAGAATGGCACTGTGAACATTTCCATATCCACTGTGGATATGTTACCAATGAAGTAAGAGTAAAGCTTCACTCCTCAAAAAAATCCATAAAAAAAATAAGATTGGACTCATTTTATTTAAGTGCATCAATTTTGCCAAATAAAAGTGTGTGATTGATTCACTTAGATCAAGTAGATTCCAATCTCATTTTTTTAAGGGGATATATTTGAGTGTAGCAATACTGACGAGATTATGACAGAAGAGAGTTTCCAGACATGATGAGCCTGTCGCAGCCAGCAGCAGCCCATCCAATCCGCTTATTCTCGTTATCGTAAACAATCATCGTATCCTGCATCGATATGTCTGCAAAAAAAACCAAAAGAAAATCATTTCATTTGCTATCACAGATCTGAGCAAGTTCTACTACTAAATCATGGCGGTCCTTCAGTTCAGTTTATCAAGTGCCAGTGGCTGGGGATCCTGGAAATTATGAGGATAAATAATACATTGATCCTCAGCATGTCAGAAAAAAAAAAAAAATCTTTGATCATGCATTTCAAATTAAACTTTTGCAAAAATCTGCATTTGCTACCTCCAATAAGGTTCAAATCCTCGAGGCCTAAATCACTGCCATTGAGGATGCCCAAGCAAGCTCTACCTTTTTCCTGAAATACATTGATACTCGAGAATGAGAAAGTTCTTCTTTTTCAAAGAAAGTTTGGTTGGCAAGAGATGTCATGCTTACCGTGACAATGAAATAATTTTCAGGGGGAATCACCATTTGAGCCATTGCCTTACCTTTCCCGAAGCTGAGGATAATAGATCGGAAGTATTTACGGAGCTCGAGAACGGAACTGAACGGCTTCGCATCCTTCCAGCACAGAGGAAGCGCCTTCTCTTCAGGTGCCTCTTTTAGCGACGTTTTGGAGATATCACTCCTAATCTAGTATTTACAGATGGAATTATGGCAAAACAAAATGAGTCATTTTTATGACAAATATAAAGTTGGATCTTAAGATATTCATTCATTCAATCAATCCAAAATTGGGAAAATTAAGCATTATAGGAATCATCACATAGATGCAAAGAGAGTGAGACAGATACCAAGGATAGTAAGGATTGATACATCTGCTTGGAGAAGTAGGTGTAGGAGCTGCCGCTATCGAAGACCAAGGTTTGCTTGTCCGCCAACTTCTGCTTGCCGGCGAATACGGTGGCCAACCCCGGCGAGTAATATTTGCTGCAAGCAGAATCAGGCGAAATGGTTAAACTTGACAACATATAAGCGTGCTATCGTCGCGCTATCGTGTACAAACTAGCTTCTCAGTAGCTAAGAGTGAAAGAAAGCTACGCTGCGACGCTGGACATAGGCACCCAAGTCATGCCACGGGGAGGAACGACATTGTCGCCGATGAAGAGGAAACTTTGGGAATTCCTGCTAAGGCAGTGCCCTACAACACTTCGGCAGACGCCTAGGTCACGGAGCTGCGAAAGGATGCCGATCTCGCCACTGCCGAGCCCCAGCACGCCGTCGGTGTTCGAGGGCCACCCGTGCTGGTCGTAGCCGCAGCCGAAGGCCAGGCTGGGATAGGCAAGGGTTTTGTTACTGAGCGGGAGGGCGAAAGTGTCTGTAACCAGGACGCCGATGGAGGAGCCGTTGTCCTGGTACTCGATGTCGTAATCGCACTGATCATGGGGCATCTCACATCCGCCCTCGTGCTGCGTCGATTCGTGCACAGCCTGACAAAGCCTGTCGTTGCACGGCACCAGCCGGTTCTTCACCGGCCGGTAAAGCGGATGCGGGCTCTGCAAAAATAATCATTGGAATCAATTAGATACAATCGTAAGAAGAAGAAGAATAGGGTGAATTTGATTCGGATTTCGGAGTAGTAGATTAATAAATAAATACCTTGGAGCAGCTGCTGCAAGGTGCATCGCATTGGAGCCAGGTAACATCGCTCCCAGTGTCGACATCGAGGAAGTAGGGCTTGGGCGGATTACCGATGTTGATGGACACATAGTAGATCCTGCGCGAGGCCATCCAAGCAAATATCATCAAACACGTAATCGATCCAGAGAAACCTACCTAATTAGGGATTAATGGCCGGTATATCGTTGGACTTCTTACCCGAGGGGGTACACGTTGCCTTGCACCCGAAAAACGACGGAAGAGAAGGAAGATTGTCTGCGCTTGCCGCCGATGCTCTTGCTTGTCGACGCTGAGGAGGACGCCGGTACAGAAAAGGAGCTCAAAGGCAAAGCCCTCGGCTTTCTGGGCGAAGTGGCTGCTCTCGTCCCGCCGAAGACGTCAGCTGAGCAAGAGGGGATTCCGACGAGTAGAACGGCGGCCATGAGCCCGGAAAGGACAAAAAGTTTACCTTTTTGTCCCTTTCGCCCATCCATCCCCCTTTAAAACTTTTCTTCTCTCTCTATTATGTATATAGACAGATGACGTGGGGAACTTCAGCCGGAGGTCTGTAGCTTGCGTCGCAACGGTTTGGTGCTCCGGCGACGGATGGGAGAAGGTGGGGTCAGCTGGCGACCATGACTCCTACGATGGGAACAATTAATCAATAAAAGAAATGTGGTCTTGGACCAAGACCGTTGGATCGATCATTCCCCGTATTTTCGCTTGCCTTCACAGAAAAATCATAAGCTGCAGGAGCCCACGAAGGGAGAAAGATCTGCTTAGTCGTTTCTCTCCCTCTCCCTCTTTACTATTATTATATTTTTATTTTCATTTTTTGAGGTGGCGGGCCACGGCGGTGAAAATTACAGTCCTGCTGCGTATTTCGCTTTTAAAAAGAGTTGGATCATGTTTAACTTTTTTAATTGAGAAAGATAATAAACTATAAAATATCACTTAAATTTATATTTTTTAGAATATAATTTTTACTTTTAATCAAGAAAAAATTGATTTATATGTTTCATATTATTATAAATTGAAGAGACTTACGGACCTCTGAAACTGTCATAAACAAAGCCTATGTCATTTTGATGGAAATAAAATGCAGCGTTAGATCGAGTAAAAATTAGCATGTTTTGATATTTATTAAAATATGTGTAAGTTGTGTTCAAATCTTATTCGAATCATGATAAAACATGATTCAAGTTTATTAAAGACTATATTGTTTGATCATTACTTGAACAATATTCAAATATTATTAGATGAATAAGATATGATCATGTCTTAATTAGACACATATTTCACTAAGATTGAATAAAATACTACAATGTTTTTTAATTTAGTTTGATCATAGATTGAAAATGGATTGAATGATTAGATTGCTAAATCATGATTCGATAATCATTCAATTCATTTTCAAACATTTTCGAATATGATTCAATTCATGTTAGAAGAACACTGAAGTTATATAATTTGATCGCATACTGAATATGTTCGCTAATGGTTCGATCAATTTTCAAATATGTTCGAATATGATTCGATTTATGTTCAAACTATGTTCAAAGTGCATTGAACTTATATGCTAACGAAGATTTTTTTATAGGCAAATCAAGTATCAGCACTCCTATAGTTTATGAAGGACAATGAAAAAGAAAAAAAAAAAAACATAAATGATGGTTTGACATTCATAAAAAAATGTTGCAAATGATTGATAATAATTAAAAAAAAAAAGTATATTCTTTAAAGATCTCGCTGATGTTATATAAAAAGTGGTGGAAGTTGATAAGAACAAGTTTAATCTAAAACTAGTAGTAATGTACCGGTGTAGTGAAGCACCACCAATTTCTTCAACTGAGTTATTTATTATAATCTTAATTTTTCTTGTATGAGATTTCCTAATATATTAAATAAGGGTTCTTATATGTGTGAAAACTACTCCTATGAGAGTTTCAACTTTGATTCTTTGTGCAAATAAGATTGTCCTAAGTTAGTAAGTTCACCATCTTCTACTGTTGTAGATAATGATGTGAACATTTCCCTTACAGAAATAGATAAATGCATGAGTTAGGAGGTTGCATGGCTACATCACTTGGTCATTAGGAATTTTGGCCGAAATAAATATTTTGACCAATTTTAGTATTTTAGTTGAAATAAAAATAATGTATAAATAAGTTGAAAGATTTAGGTTAAAGCCTTAACTATACACCATAGTATGCAGATACATAAAAAACTTTCATAGATTAGCATAGTTTATCTTAGAGAATTTAAGTACACTCATTCAAGACACGCCCTACTCAGAGGGTGATTCAATTTAGCATGATTCAACAAAAGTAGGCACTTGCCCCACAAAGCTCACCTTAGAAAAGGTTGATCTAGGAAGCACATAACTCATATATGTTTGAGTGAGGAAGGAACTTTTATTAGTAGATTTCAACTCAAAGAGTTTAAAGAGGTACGACTCACCCGTAAGAACTCTTTCTAAAATGACTCTCCTTAATGAAGGTGATTCACCCCTGTTAAAGGGACCCCCTCATCCAAACTATAGGAGATATAAACATACCAACCCCATAGTAATGTCCTCATCAATTATGCTAGAGTTATTCTTTCAGAAGAAGTTGCTTAAAAGATTTTCTTGAGAGAATTCACTTTAGGTATTTATCTAAGGCACTCACGTGAGAGTAACTTTCTAAGAACACTCACCATAGGTACTCATCAAAGGTAGCTAGAGCCATGTCAAATAGGGGTGCCCATGTGTACAAGTCATAAACTAGACTACATGTTTGTAATAGTTTGCAACCATCCAGTCACATTAAATATTATTTATCTAAGTGCATCCTCTCTTTTAACTCCCTATGTCATGATCCGAGATCTATATTGAAATAATTTCTTTTCTATTCTTTATTATCTTATCAATTCATTCTATTCATTTATCATATAGATCAATTTAACTCAAAAGCTGAATAATTGCATTAAAGAAAAAACCAATAAACAATAGAAGATATAATTCATATTACAATAGCCCATAATTACATCCTACAAATATAGTCTAAAATAATATATACAATAGTCACACTGGCTACAAAAATATATAAACTAAAAGCTGAAATAAAAATTATATTAGCATCACTACACAACCTCAAGCTGTAGGCTCTTTACCTGAAATCATTTGAATCATGTAATGAGCCTGAAAGCCCAACAAATAACCAAAATCTTACAACTAAAATCAATGCAATATAAAAGAAAATAATATGATGTAAATTATATAAAGAAATCAATATTTATGATGGTTATTCATACCAATTATGCAGATTATAGTACATCATATCTCAGTTTATTATACCATCAATAATGCTATCAATAATAGTGATCTATATCACTAATATTAATCAGTATAAGTGTTAGTCACAATGTCAATAATATTGAACAATCTCAGCAACAATAACTATATTGACAGTAAATAACATCAATAAAGTGTTTGTATTATAATCATATCAATAATAAGTAATCAGAAACAATAATTAATGTTAGTATAGTAACCAATATTAGTATCAATAATAGTTTCACTAATCAATAACAATGGCTAGTCTCAGTACAGTGTAATGTATGATATCAATAATAGTAATGAGTAATTGATCAGTAATCAATATCAATAATCAATAATTAGTGCTAGTAATCAGTAATCAATGTTCTATCAAATATTCAGATGAGAGTATCATGCTCATACACATGACTCTCAATTAGTATACTCCTTATAACTCCCCTTGAATTATGTGAATCAGCCCCCCTTACTCCTTATAACTCTCAATCAATCTTCAGTTTCTTATGACTTCCATCCACTAACCTCTTTCAGTAATTTTTGAAACATGAATGAAGGACAAAAAAGCCCTGACATACTTTCTCTTTGCCTCCCCTTCTTTTTTAGTTTCTTCCTAGCCAAGCCAAGCGAGAGTGAGGGTGAGGTGAGGGAATGGTAGCGATATTGGCAGCAATATATATATATATATATATAACACTATTAGTGGCTTAGCACCATAGCGCTCAGATTCACCATCACATCGCTGTATGTCGAATCCAAAATTACTATACATCAGAGACTCAAACGCCACAGCAGCATTTTCTGATGCCATTGTGCTCCATATCATAGCACCTTGTTGCTCAAAGATGCATCGTTGTTGCATTGTAGTTCAAACATGAACTCTTTTTTTTATACATTTAGTATTTTCCGGTTACTGCACTCTCAACCCTATAAATAAGAGGTTGAAAGATGTCTTTTATGAATTATAATTTTCACTATTCATGGAGAGTAGTTGACTATAGAGTTGTTCTCCTTACTTGTCCACTCATTCTCCTCTTCTCATGCTCATCTGCCTAATTGAACATGCTAATATAATCAATGTGTCACCTACAAGAAAATTTGAATCCAACATTACAACAACAACAACATCATGCATTTATCCCACTACGTGGGGTCGGCTACATGAATCTTTTTTCTCCCTTAAAGGATTCATGTCATTATTATTCGACAAATTTTATGCTCGCTGTCAACTATCTAACGCAACCCTCCACTTTTCTTATCCAAGAATTGAATCCAACATTAATAAAATAAAAATAATAGTTTAAATAAAAATAAAAAATATCAAGTTTGTCAATGCAATATTTTTTTTCAATGCATAGAAATACGACCAAATGCATGATGTCATAGTAGAAACAATTTACATGCCTTTAGAAAAGACAAATTTTATCCTACAAACCAATTTGAAACTTAAATTTTGTACGCATATATTAATCAATTTCTTTGTAGGAAGATTATGGGAGTAAAATCAAACACTTTAATTAAAATTGTTGAAAAAAACAAAGCATTCAACAATTGAGCATTCAACAATTGAACTAACGCAAAAAGAAAAACATAATGCAATTTGTCATGTTGAAAAGTATGTGCAAAAGTCCTTTTCAATGATTTAGTAATTTGAATAAAAAAGGATTGCCCAACATCAATGAGGCTTGCTTAAACAGGAACATTTATGCTTGTTAAAAAAAATTATCGAAGTTTTGTTTGGGTGGCTTTTTTAATGCTTTCTAAAACAGATTTTTAGTACAAAATTTTCTTGTTCAAAAAATTGTTGTACTAAAAAGCTACTTTATAAAACAGTTAAAAAGCCATACCAAACAAAGCCTTTGGGAGGGCTTTTTTATTGCTTCTTAAAACAGTTTTTTAATACAAAAATTTAAAGTTTTGTACTAAAAAGATGCTTTAAGAAACAGTAGAAAAGCCGTCACAAACAAAATCTTAATAAACCTAAAATTAGATGGTTAGAACATTTCAAAAAAGAAGTTAGAAGTTAACATGTAATCTTACAATGGGAACTTATCAGCATAACAGCATAAGAACAAACAATGTCCTCAAATAACAAATCAATTTCAGAGGAGATAAGAGAGCAGCTAGCATCATTGAAGCTATCATTAAAGGAAATAATAAAGGACATAAAAGACTACAAAATAATATCCAAAGTGACTATGAATCATTCAAAGAAAAAATATATTTTCTTACACTCATTATTGGATAACAGATCATCAATGGAGAAAAGTATGTTATTCTGTAGTTTGTTGAATACATGCCTTTGACTGTGATAATGTAAAGAACAGTTCCTATCATGTGCAGAGGAATTAGCAAAAAAATATGAAAGATTCATATCAACTGCAGGAATTCATCCTATCCAACAGTAGGATATGAAAAATTAAGCTTTCATATCATCATATGCATGCAACAGCACTATGTAAATA